ACACCTGGTTAGCCTTAGCCAGAGTCTATATTGGCCTGTGGGGATCAACATTTTGTCAGCTTAGCTGCCCTGCTCTCTCATCCTTGAGCTACCCTGCTACTTTGCGCCCGACCCGAGGGTTCATATCGAGCAGCGGATGAGACGGCCGGAAGCCGAGAGTTGTGATTGAACGATGTTTGCCAGCGGCCAAAGTCGCATCAGCAAAAAGATGTGAGGGACCTCAAAAACCAAAGTGTTCAGCATTAGTATGCATTAGTAATTTGACACAAACATGGTCGCAGGGAGTGAGAGGGAGCGAGGATTTGAAGGCCTGGAACACGTTCACTCATGGCGTTCAGATAGTTTGCTCATCTGCTTGGGTTTGACGCTGTGGGCGTTCCAATCCCAGGCGTTCCAACCGCCGGCCCTTGAGCGCGGGACCCTGTGGTTCGAGGCGCCTCGCGTCCGCCGGGCGCCCCAGCGGGCGTCATGTCCGGATGTCTCCGGACGTTTCCTTTTGGGAGGTGATTTGTAGGTGATTGTTTATAATCATATAAAGACTGGCTGGTCATTCGATGGCGCAGAAACGGTCGGGCACGTGGGCAGAACGTGGGGAGACCGTTTCGACGACCGGCCTTTCGACGTGGCCGCAGTTGGCGAAGAAGACCGGTGACATCCGGTTCTCTTGAAAGGTAGGATGTAAATGGTGTTTGTGTAGGTGGACTTGTATGCAAAGATCAGCCAGTCTGCTAGTCCCAAACAGGTTATTCACTCCCAATCACTGAGGTGAGTGATTTGCGTCGGAGCTGGCCGTCTCCTGATCCCGGGTATCTTTCTGCGATTTGCAAAAGTGAAGTCACGTTGCGACACACAGAGTGCCACTTTGCAGTCAACACAGGGGGACACACAGAGTGCACAAGGAAGACTTCACAAGACCCTGCCATTGGGTCAAACAACTGGGTTGGTGCAAAGCACCAACACAGACCTTCTGCATCATGGCAGCAAAAGAGAGCCCAGGGGTCAAGACAATCCATTTTTCTCATATGTTTTTCAATAGTGAAGACTCTTGGCGGTCGCCCAAGCTCATCAACTAGGAACTGGAGCCAGAAGTAGTCTCATGGGTGTATAGCCAACCACCCATCCACCCATCCACCCATCCACCCATCCACCCATCCACCCATCCACCCACACCTACACCTAGCAGACTCTGATGAGACATCTGCCCTCTCTCCAAGCCAACAACTGATACTGATACCCGATACCCCATGCCACACCAACCCCTAGCCCTAGAGTTCTCGGGACTTTTATTCTTCACGAACGCCGCCATGCCCGCGGCAACGCCGTGGAGCATCTTCAAAGCCCTAGACCAACACGAGGCGGGGGAGAATCCTTCTTGGTTGAATGAGATCCA